CACCTGACAGAGAAGGGAACAGATGCGCAAGAAAAGACATATTCTACAACATTCAAGCAGCATTATTTGTAACAGCCTAAAACTGGAAGCTACTCAGATGTCCATTGAGGGTAGAATGGAATAGCATACAGAAACGAGAATGAATGACCTAAATCTACATGCCATGGATGAATCTCAAAATAATGTTGAGTAAAAGAAGCCATAGACAGAAGAGTATGTACTGTGTGTTTCCGTTTATAGAAAATACAAAAACAGGTAAAACTGCTCTGTGGTGTTAGAAGTTAGGACAGCAGTTACCTTTCGGGGAGGGGGTGGTGCATGGAAGGGAGCACAAGGGACCCCCAGGGTGTTGGTAATGTTGTTTCTTGATCTGGGTGCTGGTTATATGTGTGTGTTCAATTTCTGAAAATTCATTGAACTGTATGCTTTTCTATGTGTGCACTTTTTTGTATACTATTGTGAAATAATAGAAAATGTATATATTATTCTCTGCTCCCAGTTCCTGGCACAGAGCTCCTAAAACGCTTGTGGTTTCCTAGGTGATAAGAACACTAGGAGCATCTTTTGTTCTAATATTTGGTCTGTGTCTCTGGTTCCTGACAGTTCCTAAATCCCTTGGAATTTCCTGGGTGACGGGAGTGTCCTTTGTTCTAATGAAGTGACTCTTGGTGGGCTCCTTGATAGCTTCAAGATCTGGTCACCAGAAACCAAGCCATGATTAGAAGCTTGGAACTTTCAGCCTCATCTCTCAACCTCCAGGAAGGGGAGAGGGGCTGGAGATGGAGTTGATAATCGATTGTGCCTATGTGAGGAAGCCTCCATAAAAATCCTAATAGTACAGGGTTCAGAGAGCGTCTGGGTTGCTGAACATCCAGGTGTTGGGATGGGGGGCACCCCAACTCCACAGGGACAGAAGCTCCTGTGCTTGGGACCCTTCAAGACCTCACTTTATGTATTTCTTCATCTGGCGGTTCATCTGTATCCTTTATGATATCCTTTATTATATAATAAACTGGTAAATGTAAGTAAGTGGTTCCCTGAGTTCTGAGAGCTGTTCTAGCAAATGATCAAATCCCAGGAAGGAGTCATGGGAACCTCCAATTTGTAGCCAAGTCGGACAGAAGTTATGGGTAACCCGGGGACCTGCTACTTGTGATTGGCATCTGGAGTGGGCAGGGGTTGAGGGGGTGAGGGGCACTCCTGAAGAACTAAGCCCTTAACCTATAGGGTCTGCGCTAACTCTGGTTAACGTCATAATTGAATTGCATTGTAGGACACACAGCTGGTGTCGCAGGGAATTGCTTGGTGTGGGGAAAAAACCCACACATCTGCTGTCAGAATTACTGTGTGCAAGTAAAGGAAAACACAGGAGTGTGTTTTTCCTACACAATTATACATCAATAAAATGTAACAAACAAACAAAAACCCTACAGGGAAACACATTCAATGCACGGTGTGAAGAAACAATAAAAGCTTGCTTTCAGAAAAAAAGAGAATGGAAACTGTAGTATACTCCAGTCAGTAAATCCCATCCAGTACTGCTGGACAGATAAAGCAGGGGATCTGTTCCGTGGCAGTGTATTAAGTTCTTGGTTGGGGAATCCGGCAGCCCCTCCCTTGTTAAATAGTAACAGACCAATGTTGACCAGCCTTGAGATTTTAGGGACACATGATTCCCTCAATCATTTGTTAGGCTTCTGGTCAATTCCATGCATGAGTAATCATAATCAAATAACTTATCTGGGGAGTCTTTAAGTGGTGTTCTAATGAAAGATTTAAATTTTTTTCCCCAAATAGGTAATATATTTACTTGGTTTTAAAAAAAAATCAAAGCAATACAAAAAGGTATAATTTGAGGTCTTATTCTCACCTCTGTTCTCTTTTATTAGTTTCTTGTGTATACTTCAGGTGTTTCTTTTTGCAAAACAAGCAAAACCAAGTATTAGAAATAGTTAAGTCTTCTAGGGGCTGGCCTCTGTGTGCTCATTGCGGTTGAGGCAATTCAGAACAGCTACAGGGCCGGCCCCGTGGCTTAGCGGTTAAGTGCGCGCGCTCCGCTGCTGGCGGCCCGGGTTTCGATCCCGGGCGTGCACCGATGCACCACTTCTCCAGCCATGCTGAGGCCACGTCCCACACACAGCAACTAGAGGGATTTGCAACTACGACATACAACTATCTACTGGGGCTTTGGGGGAAAAGAAAGAAAGAAATAAAATTATTAAAAAAAAAAAAAAAAGAACAGCTGCAGGTAGAGATGCCAATGGTAGTCCATCTTTGCTACCTTGGGCCTCAATGTTATCTCTCGAAGAAGCTGCCTCTTTCCTGTCTCCACTTGTGCTGGCTTAAGCTTGGATATACAAAGAAAATCATTTATTTCAATCCAGCAAGGCTTTAAGTTGTGGGACTCGGCCAATTTAGGTTATGAGCTGCAGGTAAGGACTTCATCTCTTACCAAGGCTTTATTTTCTTTAATCTCTGCTATCAAATCAGTTTTCTTTAGTTTAGATTTGCCACTTTCTTGAAAGACTTTACTGGAAGCTACTTAAAAACAATTCCAACACTCGTTAATGTTCTGTATTATTCCTGAGATTTCTCCTACAATACAGCTTTGGTTAGCACATGGTTTGTATCCAAGGCCTAGCAAGTGATGGCAGTTCAGCAGTTTCACTACTGCTTAACAAGTTGGTCACCAACTTTCCAATTTAGAACAGAGAGTCTTCACCACTGGCTACCTTAAGCTTCAGTTAGCCAATTCCACATTTTAGTGTCCTACTACTGGTACCAAATATTTGCCTGTTAGGGAATGGGTTCAGCTACAAATTTTAGAACACTTACCTATAAATGACTTAAACAAATGTACTGTCTTACTCATGCACTAGAACAGGGCAAGAATGGAAGCAGGTAGGTCAATTAGGAAGCTCTCACGGTAGTCCAGGTAGCAGATGATGGTTTCTTGGATGTCAATTTTACCTCAACAAAGCTGGGGGGGAAATAATAGCTCCTAGAATTTTGCTTGAATGACTAAATGGATGGCAGTGACATTCACTAAAATGGAAAAAAACAGAGAGGTATATGTTTGTGGGTGAAAATTAGTATTTTGGGTGGCCAAGTTAAGTTTGAGATGCTAGTTAGACATTCATGTGCACATGTCAAGTAGGCAGATATTTAGAGGAGTTAGAACTTACAGGCAGAGGTCATTGCTAGAGACATAAATTTTGGAGTCATCTGCTTATACATGGTACCTAAAACCATAGGACCAGATGAAATCATAGAAGAGTGGGTAGGTAGAGAAGAGAAGGGGACTCACAACAAACTGGGCACTTTGATTTTTATACGTTGAGCAGAAGATGTGAAGTCAGTGAAAAGAACCCAAGAAAGAATAGCCAATGAGGTAGGAGGATCAAGAGTGCATGGCGTCCGAAAACAAGAGAAGAAAGTGTTTCAAAGCGGGAGTGGTTGACTATGATGAACAGTACGGAGAGGGCAAGTAAAAACAGAATGAGAAGGTACCACTGGATTTGCATGGAGATTGCAGTTTCAGTAGCTTTGCGGGGAAGAAACCAGAAAGCAAACATATGATGATGAGAATGGTCTATTAGAGAGGGAGCAATTGGTGGCTCAAGAGAGAGATGACAGAGGACAAGATCCATAGAAAAAGTGGATTGGTTAAATAGAATGAGAATACTTTATCCATCTGTCAGACACTTAGCTTCTTGAAGGAAGAGATCATGTCTTATTTGTATTTGTATATTTAGTAACTCCTAGCATAGTGCCTAGTACATAGGAGGTACTCAAGAAACGTTACTGAATTAATGAATAAATGAGCAAATGGAAGAATGGATGGATGGCAGATGCAAGGCTGGAGAATGAACTAGATCAAACTAACTCAAACTTCAGAGTAAGGAAAGGGGAAGGGGTCTTGAATTAACAGGGTTACTTAGGGACTTTGGGATCCTGGGATAGGGTTGACAGATTTCAAACTCAGAGGAAGGTGGGAGAAGGAATGAGTCACTGTCAATGGCAGATGCCTTGGCCAGCTTTCAAGGCACTGATTTGCTAAAGCCAACTGCAGGGAGGGTTCTAAGTTCATCTACTTAATCACTTTCTTTCCGTGCCTCTCCCTTTCTGGATCCAGGCTCACAAGAAAAATGATTATGTAGCTTTATGGACACAAATGGGAGAAGGGATTTAAAAAATGACAGTCCCACATTCATTTATTTCATCTGGTCAATAGATATTCACTGAATGACAGTCTTGTATAGGAAGAAAGGTAGAAGGGCAGGATTATGCGGGGCTTATCTATTCGTTTCCTTTATTTGCTTATGGGTCTGGCTTTTAACAAGTGCTTTGTCTTCAATTCAGATAGTAGCTGACTTCACCAACTGCACAGGTAAGGTGGTATTTGAAGTGGGCCGCCCATAAAGTCTTAAGGTGACTCGTATGCGAGTGAATAGGTATTGCAGATGACATGGCTGGTGGAATGGAGAAAGCATAAGCTGGAAGTAGGCCAATCGTGGAAACGCAGGACCTAACGCCAGGTCCTGCGTCTTCTAGCCGTATCACCAAGAGAGGAGTTAGGATTCCTATTATTTTTCTTCCCAACCTGCAGTCGGAGCAACCGAGGCACCTATAAAAGTGGAGGTGGAGGCGCAGCTGGAAGCCAGGTTTGGCGTCCTCCCCGTCCGATTTGGCCATCCTACGTCCTACGCCAGACTACGTTCCTGGGGAATTCCCGGGTTGCCTAGCAACCTGCTGCCCACCCCCCCCCACCCGCGCGGGGAGGGTCAGGCGGCCCAACCCGGGCTCCAGCCGAGTGTCACCCTCGGGAAGGCAAGCAGAAGAACTGCGTCTGCCCGGCCCCTGCTGGGCACGAGCCCGTTACACGTGGAATCACCCGAGCTGTCCACGGTGCCGGGCGGCGGGCAGGGGCGGGGACACGCGGCGCCAATGGGCGGGCAGAAGGGAGTGCGCGTGCGCACAGGGGGCGGAGCCTAGGAAAAGCTATCTGAGGACGGGGGCTGGCGAGGCTCACGCTGGAGGCCTTCGCTGGAGGTCTGTCTAGAGAAAGCTGTTTGGCAGCTGAGGGCAGCGAGGGTGAGTGAACCCGGGAGCAGCTGAGGCCGGGGCTGCGGCCTCTGAGGCCCGTGACCCGACCCTGGGGTAGGAGGTCCGTGGGGCAGCACTGAGGGGTCCGCAGCGGGGCGGGATCCCGGCGCCCTGGGGGGCGCTCGGGGCCTCGGGCTCAGGTTGGGAGGCAGGAGCGGCCTGAGTGGGAGTCTCGGCCCCAGGCAGCCTCGGGAAGCTTAGCCAGCCTGGAGCAGAGCCTGTCTCCCTCTTTCCCGGGGCAAAAGCCGCCGGGGGCTTTGAAGCCAGATGGTCCCGGCGGGGGCCCATCTCCGCCCTCTTGGAGGACCTGCCGGGGACCTGCCTGCGGTCCTGGGGCGTTACTCTCCGTCTGCCCCTGGTACCCTCTAGGGAAGACAACAAACAGGTCCTGTCGGCCCGACGAGCTTGGCCGGGCTGTGCTGGGGGAGTGGGAAGGCGGGGGAAGCTGACTTTCTCTTGTATTCCCTGTCTTATTCCCTGTCTGGGCGTGGCACCGCCATCCATCCAGTGCCCAAGCCAGAAACCTGGACGTCATTCTCACCTCCTGCTCTCCTTTGCCCACCCACGTCGAATCCATCACAAATCTCTCTCGGGTGCATCCACTTCTCCGCTCCCAGTTCCTCTGCTCCAGCGAGTTCTGGCCACCGTCATCTCTCCCCTGAACAATCTACCTCAGTAGCCTCCTGACTGGTCCTCTGCATCCTTCTTGATCTTCTGTAGTTTGTTATGTACTGGAAAGCCAGAGTGATGGTCTTAAAACACAAATCTGGTCATGTCATCAGACCCCTCCCCCATTCCCTTTCTGCCTGTCAGTGGATTCTTGTTGTTCTTCCAAGTTCTTGAACAGGGCTGACAAGGTCCTGCATGACTTATCCTCTTTTGACTTTAACTCATCCGTCTCTACTATACTATGTCTTCAACCATGTTGAATTTTTTTTAGTTTCTGAATTGGACCAAGTTTCTTCTAGGGTTAGATGTTTGTTGTGTGTTTGTTACATTACTTGTTTGTTATATGTTCCCTCTGCCTGAGGTACTATCCTTTACTTTCTCCTCCTTCATGTATTACTCCAGGTGTGGTTTGGGGCTTCTGCGGTACCCCATGGGTGTCTTTTTACTGGTCTCTCTTTTTTACCAGGCTGTAATCAGTGTGAGAGGAGCCTGTCTGTCTCACAGTCCTGTCCTCAGTATCTTGTGCAGCACCAGGCTGCTAGGAAAGAGTATGTTAGTTATACGTATAAATGACACATGGCAGCTCCTTGGGCTCCCTAAGTGAACAAGTAGATCAAGTTATTAAATGTCTGCTTTTCAGAACCAGTTCTCAACCCCCAATCTTTGTAGCTGTTTCTTTGGTGTAGGAACCTGGTTCTTTTCTTGCCTTCAGTGCAGGACCATGGCAGTGGTAAATGGGGCAGTACTGGTCAGAGTTTTTCTTTGGCACCGACTCTGGGTACAGGATGTCTGGATGTTGGTGAGTGTGGCTGCCTTGAGTTTGAATTCTTTTTTTTGTGAGGAAGATCAGCCCTGAGCTAACATCCATGCCAATCCTCCTCTTTTTGCTGAGGAAGACCGGCTCTGAGCTAACATCTATTGCCAATCCTCCTCCTTTTTTTCCCCAAAGCCCCAGTAGATAGTTGTATGTCATAGTTGCACATCCTTCTAGTTGGTGTATGTGGGATGCAGCCTCAGCACGGCCGGAGAAGCGGTGCGTCGGTGTGCACCTGGGATCTGAACCCGGGCTGCCAGTTGCGGAGCGCACGCACTTAACTGCCAAGCCATGGGGCTGGCCCTGAGTTTGAATTCTTAACTGAGGGCCCCTGGCATAAAGGAAAAGCTGCTAAGTCGCTGTGGTCTTTATGGAAGGAAGGCTGGCTCCAAACTTGCATGTGCTGATAGGGCTAACTAACGACACAATGGGAGGGAAGGGTGGGCCAGGCCAAACCACTGGTGGGAGAGTTTCAAAGGGAAGTTATTTTTCCAGTTTAGGCCAGATCCTCTGTGATAGTGAGCAACCCATCTAGGTGCCACGACCTACTGCCCTGAGTCAACGTGAAGGCATGCTGTCCTCAGGTCAGCTCAGCACTTTGTGATAAATTCAGTGGGGTAAAGGAGAGACAGAGGAGACAGGGTCCTGGCCCTCACAGAGGGAGGGAAAGAGAAAAACAGGAAAGGAGAACGGTATGTGACCATATGTTATGGCCAAGTGAGTGTGAGAGGCTGCAGACTGAGGTCAGAGGAGGGAACAATTGGTCTTGGCTGGAAGAATCTCCAGATGGCATTTGAACTGGGCCTGGAAGGAAGAGGGAGGACAGACAAATGGAACCAGTGGGACCAAAGGCTCTGGGACTGGAAGAGGCTGCTGGAGCAGTGAGGAGCCCTATTATGGTCAAGGCCCTGTGGGAGCCCTGCTACTGACCGCGGTCCTGTGCTTCCCTCCCAGGACTGAGGCTTTGCCTTGTGAAAGACATCTCAAAGCCTGGGTTGTGTTCTGAACTCTGTCAGAAATCTCTCCTCCTTGGAATTTTTCTCTAGCCTGGCCTTTACAATCTCTCAGAGAAGGCCAGTGAGCTTGCAACTCCTGGGCTTATCTGCCAGGCTGTTTGCTCATGGCCTTGAGCTAAGGGCTTAGAGTGTGGGTGATGCAACTTGTTTGGCCGAAGGGAAGTTGCTTATGTTTCTTTTTGAATGTGACGGTTGAATTTGTCAAGTGGCAGTCAGATTTCCCTGTTCTCATTGCAGCGCTTGGAGGGAGAGTTTCTCTTCTCTGTTTGTGGATTTGGCTTTCGTTGTGTTCTAATAGTTAGAAACCTGCAACAGCAGACCAAAATGGGACACATTCAAAATCAATGGTTCTTGGCCTTTATTCTGCCTTCCTTGAAGAAGCAATAATTTGGACCCATAGTTACTGTTATTGCCAATCACTTGGTTGCTTTTTGGTGTTATTTGAATAGAACCCGCACCCCCCTGACACACACACACCCCAATCTGATATACTAAATATCCAACCACATAATTATGGAATGGTGCCGTGGGTTCAGTGATCACTCAACTATCTGATAGATATCAGCAAAAAAAAAAAAAGTTTTATGCTCAGTTAGGTTGACATCAAAACTTGGCAGCATATCTCGGAAGGTGGGAATCCCCCAAGGACCATGGCATGCAGGCTGAGAACCACCAGCCGCTGTGCCAGGTACTGTGCCTGAGGCTGAGAATGTGGATTTAGTCCCTGCCCTTACGGAGCTCAGTCCAGCAGGGGCCACTTACAGGTAACCAGGCAGTGTTCAGGTCAGTTCACAGCTGTCGACAGTGGGCAGTGACAGACAGGACCTTTCTGAAGGGAAGCTCTCAGGAGCATATGGGAAGGACACTGAAGACAGACTTGGAATTGAAGAAGGCTTGCTGGGGAAGGAGCTGGCTTCTCTCTCTGGTCCCTCCTGTCCCAGAACTCTAAGATGTGTGATCAGAAGAAGCTGCTCTGCTCTGGCCTAGGCAGTCACTGCTGAGAGGAACTTGAAACCTTGTTTTCTAGTACTAGGTACAGTGGTAGTGGGCTTGTCAGGGTCTGGACACTTTTATTTGGTAAAATTGGAAATGTAATTTCTGTGCCTGAATTCTTTTCTAGAGGTGAGAATTAAATGTAAGCCCCCTTTTTATGCTATCCATATGGTATTGGAACAAAATTATGGAATAATTACATTAAATACATGTCTGTAAAGAAAAACCATGTGTGTAGTAGAAATTTTAGAAGCAATAGAAAAGTAAAAAGAAGAAAAATCAAAACCCCTCCTCATAATTCAGAAAATAATCTTTGTTAACAGTTTTTAGTCATTGTTCTATGTGTAAAATATGCATACATTGTTTTTTTTATAAAAATGAATTATTCTTTACAGACTTTTGCAGCCTCCTCTTTTTTGTTTACTATATATTGAACGTCTTTTCCTATTACTAAGTATGACTGATTGCATTATTTTTTAAAATAATTTTATTTATTTATTTATTTTTTTCCCCCAAAGCCCCAGTAGATAGTTGTATGTCATAGCTGCACATCCTTCTAGTTGCTGTATGTGGGATGCGGCCTCAGCATGGCCGGAGAAGTGGTGCGTCAGTGCACGCCCGGGATCCGAACCCCGGGCCGCCAGCAGCGGAGCGCACACACTTAACTGCTAAGCCATGGGGCCGGCCCAACCGATTGCATTATAATGTCCCTTTTCTTTCTTTTTTATTTTTTTGCGAGGAAGATCAAGCTAACATCTTGGCCACAGCATGGCTTGACAAGCGGTGCGGTGGTGCGCGCCCAGGATCCGAACTTGTGAACCCCTGGCCGCCGAAGCGGAGCATGTGAACTTAACCATTATGCCACCGGGCCAGCCCCTATAATGTCTCTTTTCAGTAGTAAGACTAGATGCTACTTTTTAGCACTCTGAAAGTTATACATCCCAGTGACTGTTGTCCCCTTAGGGAGAGGGCCATGGGAGGTGATACTGCTGATAGGCAAAATGGATTTGGGGAATTTTCCTAAGCGTTGTGGGGATGACATTCTCCCAGAGTCCCACCCTACAGAGTCTTTTAGCATGGGTGAGAGGGGCTGCAACACTGCTGCTTCCCAGCCCCAGCACAGGGAGTGGAGATAGCGGCAGCTTAAGAGCTGAGCTCTGTGTGTAGCGTGTGCTAGGGTCTGACCAATACCTAAGCCTTGTCTTTACCGCTATAGGTCTGGGGCTATGGCTACAGTTGGGCCCTTAGAAATCTGTGGCCCCTGTTATCCAGCAGAGTCTGCACTGCCTTTTGGGAGTGAATGTGTAAGTCAGGTCTTTTCTTTGTGTTTGTTTGGAGGTCTCCTGGCTGTCCTTCACCTTCCTTTTTGAAGTCAGTCTATGAACCCCTGGAAGGACCAGGACTTTCAGTTTAACAAACAGTGAAGGCCTGCCTGAGTCTTGGTGGGGAATCCTGATGGGAGCAAAGCATCCCCTGCCCTCAGGGAGCTTGCTATGTAGCTGACTGTCTTCTTGTTGTTGACCACAGTTCCAGCTCTAGCCAAACCCTGGGAGGACTTGATGGAATCCTAATGTCTACGTAACTCTCCTTTCCGATGCTCTTTCACAGTCTTTAAGTTACTTGCCTCTGTCACAGCCATCTCCCATCCTGGGAGATGGACGAGGTAGGGAGTAATATCTTTTCTGTGTCCACTGCTGTAGGCCTCAATCTGGCCACCTCATCCCTTCCCTCAACTACCACGTTCCTGTCTCTGGTTTTGTACCAATAAATACCTTCCCTGCTGTGCTGCCAGATTAGCCATTCTGAAACCAATCTCTGATCTCATCTCCCATTCACGAATCCTCAGTGGCTCCCCATTTATCTTCAGGAAACTTCCACCCACTTGGCTTAGTGTGCAAAGCCACACTGAATACGGCCTGGTCAACCTTTGCAACCTGTTGTCCACTGTTCTGCCTACTTCATACCCTGTAGGCCGCAGCCCGACTAAAGTACTTGGAGTTTCTTTCCCACTTGTCACTCTGCTTGAACCATTCCCTTAGTCTCTCAGTCCCTGCACATCCACAGCATGCTCATGCGTCCAGGCCCAGTGGAAGTGTCCCCATGTTCCTCAGCCTTCTCTAATTTTCCCTCACCCAGAGGGCATTTCTTTCTTTGAGCTCTCAGAGGGTTTTATCTTTCTTTAGTACATCTCACTTTCTGTCTTTATTAGTGCTTTCAGTAGGAAGTATTTCTCTCATCAGACTGTAAGCTTCTTGTGGGCAGGAATAATCTTCAGGTCCCTTTAAGCTCTCACTGAGTTGCTTGGCATTCTGAAGGTGCTTCAGGAAATGTCGTGGACCCACCCACTTGACTGATGGGGACCTGGAGTGCCCAAGGTCATCCCACAGTCTAGTGGCAGAGCTGGCCTTGTGCCCAGTTTGATGTGTTCTCTTCCCCAACCTTGCTTCTTCACTGGGTTTCCCAGGAGTGCACTGTGTCAAGTCTTGAAAGAACCTTAGCTCTGGTGTTCTCACCTTCATCTTCTGTGTTCCCCACCTCCCAGGTACCGGTGACCATGAGATCTCTGCGGCTGTTCAGAACCCCCTTCCTGTGCGGCCTGTTCTGGGCCCTTTGTGCCCCAGGTGCCTGGGCTGAGGAGCCCAGGGCCAGCCCTTCCCATCACGGCAGCATGGGCCTGGATAAGCACACAGTGCACGACCAAGAGTACGTATTCAGCCAGGGCTGTGGTCCATCCTGGACGTTTTTCAAGGATGATATTTATTCGTTATTGCCACTTGTAAATCAGGTATTCTTTTTTCATCCTCTATCACAGGTGAGGGATTTTGAGGCCTAGAGGGGATAAATGACTTGCCTGAATTCATTCCATCTCGCTCTTTCACCGTAGACAGACAGATACACACACACACACACACACTCACACACTCATACACTCATACTCAGTCACTCACCCCCCCCCCCCCCCCCCCCACACACAGTAGTAGTAGCAGAATCCGGGATAGGGGTAAGATTTCTTGACTCTGACAGGACTTTTTTCTTTTTTTATCGGAACATTCGAACATTGAATCATTTGTTGCAACTTTTGTCCCACGCCAGTTAACTTCACACATTATTGTTATCCTTAAATTGCTTTTTAAAATTGTTTTTTTAAATTGATAGCCCCCAAATGTTATAACAACATTCAAATAATAAGCAGGAAAAAACACCCATAATCTTGCCAGCATAACAGATGAACTGGTTGACTTTTTCCCTGCTCTTTTCATGGCCTTGCCTGTATCTGTCAGCCTTGAGTGTGGTCTGCCACTGTTTCTGTTTGTTTTTCTGAGATGGGTGAATTTTAAGATCTTGAACTTTTCAGTCCTTAAGATTTTGGCATGATCCCGGTGTCACTGCCCAGTGGTCTGAGTCTAACTGTTGGTTTTCAGGCACATCATGGAGCATCTAGAAGGTGTCATCAACAAACCAGAGGCAGAGATGTCCCCACAAGAACTGCAGCTCCATTATTTCAAAATGCATGATTATGATGGCAATAATTTGCTTGACGGCCTAGAACTCTCCACAGCCATCACTCATGTCCATAAGGAGGTAGGTCAGGCAGTAGCTCAGTGGGCGGCATCTCAGAAGGGCCTCTCTTTGGTAAGTCAGTGCCCGATCTTGATGACCTGTGCTGTCCCTGTACCACAATGTTGCTGCTGCTCCTTTTTCTGCACACCGCTGTTCTGCTTCTTTTCCTGTTCAGCGGTCCTTCTCAGAACAGGAAGGCAGAAACCCCAGGCTTCAACAAGCGCTCCAGGCATTTCTGCTGCACACCAGAGTTTGAGAACCAGTGCCTAAAAGACCGACCACGTTCAAAATGCAGAGCAGGGGAGAAGTTATTTTATTTGGGAAGAATGGTGAATCCTGATTCAAGGGATCGAGGGACTTAGCAGTAATTGAGGGTTTGTGTGATATTGTACAGTGCTCCGTACAAAGCGTTTTACAGAATACTTTCACATAGGTTAAAGGTCTCATCTGATCTTTGCAACAGCCTATGAATAGGCAGGGGCAGGCATTGTTATTAGCCCCATTTTAGAGGTGAGGAAACTGAAATCGAGATCTTCTGTGTCCAGATCTAATGTCTGTCCTGCTCTGCCACACTGCAGTCTACAGGGAGGAGAAAGGCAAGGTTGGGGAGGTGGGTGTGCTCACCTTGGCTGCCAGGAGAGCAGCTTTGGGTTTGCTTGGAAGGCAGTGGGGAGCACTAACAGCTGTGCGCAGAAGCATGGCCAAAACAGTGTTTTGGGAAGATCCTTTGCTGTGGGAGGCAGTCCGATGGACGTGAGGAGAGACTGGTGTCAGGAGAGGAATTGGGATTCAGCAGTCCTGGCAGGTGAGGAGGTGGTGGCGCTAGGAGAGGAAAGGGTGGACGTGGGAGAGGTGGCACAGGAAGAGTCAACAAGGACGTGACCAGCAGTAGCTTAGCACCCAGCACAGTGAGCCCCGCTACACCTGCTTCTGGAGCAGGAAATACCTTCACCTCCAAGATCCTAGCAGGTTCTACTGGTCGGCAGTGCCTTCTTCGTCTTGTTCTGACCCTGAGGTGTTGTCCAGTACGGAATGTTTCTACCTTATCAGGACAAGTTGTGCCCAAAGCTGACCCTCGGGCAAGCCTGGCCTGTGAGCTTTTCTCTGGGATGGGTTTGTGGGTCATGGAATTTATGAAACTCAGAATTCTGGGTAAGCCAGACCTCGCTTTCTACAATGAACATGTATTACTCTTAGAAAAGAATGAAAAGTCATTTTTAAAACAAATAAGCAAGGACCTACTTTGATTGCATCTTTCTTTTAACTGGAAAATATAATTTCTAAATTGGGTTATTATGAATTGACTCTATATCTGATATATGGTTTGTGGATTCCTAGAGGTAGCCATGTACTACATTGAAGGAGTTTTTGGACACATATGAGCGTGGACATTTTGGAAATTAGCTAAGCACTTCCAGTAAAATGTGCAACTCATTATTGTCTAATTTATATTTTGTAGGAAGGGAGTGAACAGGCGCCACTAATGAGCGAAGATGAACTGATTAACTTAATAGATGGTGTTTTGAGAGATGATGACAAGAACAATGATGGATATATCGACTATGCTGAATTTGCAAAATCACTGCAGTAGACGTTACGTGGCCGTCTCCTAGTTATATACAATGTGACCCGTTATAATGTGATTGAACACTTTTGGTAATGCAAAATGACTCGTTTCCAACTACTGCTGCAGTATTTTTGTAAAAACCTGTACCGATTTGTTACACTGGGGTAGGAAAGAGAAATCCAGAGAAATAAAAGAGAAGAGAAATGGGACATATTGTAGTCCCTAAGTACTGTTAAATCTCTTATTGGACCAGGTCTTGATGTAAAGAATCTTTTTAAGAATATTGGATAATTAGAGCTGAGTACTCAGGAACTTGACTGTAGAATACTGCTAGGCTCTTGGTTTTAATTCATGCTACCTGAAAAGTAAGATGAGCTTTGCCAAGTAGACGCACTTTTCAGTAACAGTGAAGAAATGAAACGAATGCCAAATGTTTCCCCTAGTGGGTCCTGTCTCTTCAGGTTAATGTGGTCAGTATTCTGTAAAGTTCCTCTGGCCTAAGTGATTACTTGCTTTGGGCAAGTGAGTATTTATTAGGCTATTTCAAAGCCACATCATAAGAAGAATGTCAAATATTGAGTTCAGCTAGCCACGGGGTCTAAGATTCTGTATCTTCTGGCACTTTGGAAATGATACACCACTGACCTAAGTGATTAACCTTTTTTCAGTTTTTCAATATTTTATAGAACTACTGCCACATCCTTATACTTTATTTCTTTTATGTCTTCTTCAACCTAGGAGAGACCTTGAATTTAAAAGTGTTCTCTACTCTAATCAATAGCAAATGTTTTAGCTTTCTTAATATTTGTATTTAACTCTTGTTTCTAGAGTTCCGTTTTTGCAGTTTAGAAACTATTAGGAACGTAGGGACTTTATCCCTCTGCTTGATACAGCAGGGTAAAACTACTAGCTGTTCTAGCTGGTGAAAAGATCATTCACCCAGCGCAGTAACTAACCTGATACAAGTTATATTTAGAAGGAATGTTGTTTAAATTACCTCTTCTAGCCTGAGTACATGAGTTCTTTCAGATCAGGAAAGATTAGAAAAAGAAGCCTAAAAGCCTAAAAACTCGTAACAGTGTGAATCTCAATAGAAGTTGAAAGTGAGAAGCAGCAGCAGAGTGTAATTTGGGTTATTGGATGTGATGGACATGCTGTGATAGAAAGCCTGAAATGATGGTTGAATGGGAAAACCGCATAAAATTTGCTGTAAGATGTATAGAGACTTATTTTCTTTATTAAAGTATTCTTATAAGAAAACATATGTATTTGTAAAAATGGTTTCCTGTGTCAAGTATTTGTGCAATCAGAGCTGAATTGTAAACTATTCTTGTAATATCTAGTTATTTTGAAAGATTTATATAATGAATTCTGGATATATGACCAATAAAATTAATGAAACAAAATAAGGAGCAGTTGATTTTGTCCACATAGGCTGCTTCTCCTACCGCATGAAGGCTCTGTGTATTTAATACAGATGTTTACATGCGCCTACTCCATCGCAGGTTCTGTGGCCCCTCCCTGGCTGTACTCTGTTCCTTTCTGTAGGAGTAGATTTCTAGTGTTCAAAGTTACTTTCTCCTTTTAGGCATTTTTTCTTCTGAATGAAATCAGTTTTTGGTCCTTTCTTCTCTGGCCAAGGTCAGATTATGATGGCACTCTCTAGCTTAGGAAAATACAATGTTTTCTCCTTGAGTCTGGTGACTGTTTTTTCTTTGCCAGAAAATATAATTAAGTAGCATTATTGAAAGCATCTCAGGCCCAAGCAAAGGCACAGTCTCCTCTGGCATTTTGGAAATGCCACTTGTTTTGCCAGTTGAGAAGCCAAAAAGGAAGGAAGTTACCACTGCCTTGTTTTCCCCCAAGACCCTTGCTCTGGCCCTTCATCCAGAGCTTCCCCTCTAGATGGATCTAGTGAGGGAGCACACAGTTGGAGGAATCTCCTACTGTTGGCAGCTGGGAAGGAGGTCAGTGAGGCAGTTGGGGAAGGAGAGAAGCAGATCCTTAGGAGGTAGAGTCACCAGATTAAACAGATAAGACTGAGACCGGCCCCGTGGCTTAGCGGTTGTGTGTGTGCACTCCGCTACTGGCGGCCCAGGTTTGGATCCCAGGTGCGCAACAACGCACCGCTTCTCCGGCCGTGCTGAGGCGGCGTCCCACATACAGCAACTAGAAGGATGTGCAGCTATGACATACAACTATCTACTGGGGCTTTGGGGAAACAGAAAAAAGAAGGAGGAGGATTGGCAATAGATGTTAGCTCAGAGCCGGTCTTCCTCAGCAAAAAGAGGAGGATTAGCATGGATGTTAGCTCAGGGCTGATCTTCCTCACAAAAAAAAAATAAAAAAAAAAAAAACAAAAAAAAAAAAAAACAGATAAGACTGGACACCTCAGCTGGCTGCTGTTTGTAATTATTCTATGCTGACCTTTATGGTCCTGACAGCCTGCCTTTTCTCCTGGAAAATGTCCCTGGTGGGAGAGGGGCCTGTAACGTGAGGGACACAGCATGATTTGCCTTTCCCTGCGTACCCTCATTATCTCTCCTCCCCTACGTGAGGCCTTGGCCTTCTCATTGCCCGCCTCAAGGGTTTCTTAGAATGTATAAGGAACATCTCTGCACCTCGGTTTCCGTATGTCTAAAATGGAGATAAATATAAATGTAAGAGGCGGCTGTATATGAGCACAAGCCTTGGACTCAGATCAGAGTTGAAATCCTAGGCCTGCTACTCCTTAGCTATGAACTTTAGTTTCTCATCTTAAAAATAGCTGTAATAAAACTTAACCTGCAGAGTGGTTAAGAGGATTAACAAAAAGAAAACAATATAAAGCATGTAGTAAGTGCCTGGCATAGAGTAGGGCTAAACACTGTCAGTCGCCTGTTCCTCAGCCTGGCCGAGGAGCCTGCGCCCCTTCCTCACTGCGAGTGGGGGCTGCTGGTGCTGTAAAGAAATTAATGACTCGTCAGGGGCAGGCATCCAAGGGTCTTCTCTGCTTCTTATATTCCTCAGCATAAGTGCTAAATGAGTGAGTGAATGAATTCTCTCTCAGGGGAGAAACGAAGGGTCAGGTCAAGGGCAATGGTGAAAGACACAAAAGCATTGAAATCTGGAACCAGACGAAAGGAATTTCTTTCTCACCTGGCCTCCTGACAGGGGATTTCACTGGGCCTCAGTTACTCCCGCCTGAAGAAGGAAAGGAGCAGACCACCTCCCACAGCCCCTTTGTCAGCACATGGAAAACACCAAGCCATCAGCAGCAGTAGTACCTTTGCCCTGCTCCTTAGAAAGATCTAGAAAATGGAGAAGGTGAGGTGCCAGAGAGTGTGTGAGGCTGTGGGGATGGAGACTTTTTCACCTGACCAGGGCTTCCCAAGGGAGATTTTTGGAGGTGTATGGGTTTAAGAAAGCAATAGAAGTGGATTTTAAAAATAAATGGCAGCTACAAGATGACAGAATAAAGACATGTGTGTCCCCAGCTGAAACTGAAATAATGCAGAGACTAGCAGACAACTTAAAAAATTATAATCAGTGTCCTCAGAGAAGTGAGACTTGATTGTATCCATGAAGCAAAATTGAGATGCCATAGAGGAACAGTTGCAATGAGAGAATCTAGAAATAAAAAATGTGATACTGAGGCCCCCATCCTGATGTTTTTCATTAAAAGGGTTAAAAGGTAAGGTCAAGGACATCTCCCGGGAAGTAGAACAAAAAGACAAATGGATGAGTGATAGCAGAGAAGAGAGAAGAAAATAAGAGGATTTACTGGGGAGATCCAACATCCAATTAATAGGAGTTCTTAGAAAGAGAAAACAAAACATGACAGGGAGGAAGTAACCAAAAACCAACTCAAACTGGAATAAGGGGAAAAAAATGGGTGGAGGAGACAGGGGATGTGAAAATTTATTGGCCACGTTACTGCACTGGCTGCAGACATGACCCAATTCCCTCCCTGCTCACCGGCTGCCAGCATCTGCACTCCTCCCTGTCGTCAGCTCCCGGGCTGCACTCGCTCCCGGGCCCACGCTGCAGTGACATGGCAGCAGCAAGATGGCAGCAACCCCTCCGAACATCCTCCTCCTCGGCTTCAGCAGAGAAGAAAGCCTGTCTGTCGCAGCACACCTATGCCCTGACAGTGACCTGGAAGGCCGTAGGGCGTAGTGTTAAGAGCGTGAACTTTGGCGTCAGACAACCTAAGTATGAATCCTGATTTTGCCACTTAATAGCTGTGTCACTTGGGCTTGTTACTTAATGCATCTGTGCCTCAGTTTCCTCATCTGACAACAGAGATGATGATAGTTTAACCTCGTGAGGCTGTTGTGAGGATTAATCGAGTTAACATATAGTTAACATATATAAAGCCCTAAGAGGTGAGCCTGGCACAAAGGAAACACTTTATCCATGTCAGCCAGTACTATTATTCTGAGCCCGTCTCTGAACCCATTGCCGAGGCCATGGCCAGGTCGTATGGGACCAGTGGGCTCAGGCCTTTGTCGTATGCTGCAGACCCTGGGAGGGGCTGGAGGCCTACTAGTATAAAATGACTGACAGTGAGGAGGAAGCATTTCTGTGAGGGGGATCAGGGTACCAATGCCAGAAAAGGAAGGTGGGTAGCTGCTGTATGGCATGCCCTAGGATGGTTGGCAGTGGAATATTCACTTCTTTCAATGAAATCTTGCTCCGCACCATCCAGTAGACTGGCCTCATGGCTCCACTGAGACGGTTATAATACTGTATTTGAAGTCATAGGCTTTCAGCAGAGCAGTCCTGGGGGCTGCAGGCACTCTGCCTGTTCCTGCCCATGTCCCTGCCACCAGCACGAGGGGAAGCTGTGTTCTCTATTCTTTTTTTAGCACATCATCATCCAGCTCGGACCCCTGACTGCCTGGAATCACTCACACTTACCTCCCAAGAGCAAACAACACTTTTCAGACATGGTCCAGTCTAATACCATTTTAGGAAAAAAAAACCTTGAGGTGTGCAGGGGCACAGAGCAGGGACATTTGAACCTATTTACACCTCTCGACATCTCCACCCAAAGCGTCTACACTGGGGTTACTTCCTCCCACCCCAGGCATTCTCTAAGAAACATGAGTGCTTGTCTGGAAGCCCAGAGATCGACGGAACTACTTCCTGAACAAGGGGGAAGGTCTGCCCACAGAAATGAAGTAACTCACCAAAGTCCCACTTGGAGGAAACTTGGGCCAGGAGGAGAGAATGGAAATACGTCAAGGACAGACAAGAGAGAGTAGAGAAACAAGAGAGAAGCCCAGTAGGAAGGTCGGCAACACTCTGGTCTGTGTTCAGGATACAGGAGGACCAGTGAACTGAACTGAGGACGGGAGCCGGTCGGGAGAGTCCACAGGCTGTTTTGTGAGGACGAGCCTGTAGCAGGGGGAACTCAAGGGAGGGAAGTTTGGATGTCAAATGTAATTGATTTTCACAATAATGTGCTTTAAAATGTGTAAGTGTGTCAGCTTCATTTTCCCAGTCCATGCTTGACTAAGTATACAACCACAATTCACTCTTCCCTGTTGGTGCTATAGGAATAAAATCCTGGCATTTTATTATAAAAATAATACATTTTCATTAAAGATAATGTGAAAATACAGAATAGTAGAGGGATGAAAATATGGTCTCATTCAACAGAGCCACTGGATGATGGTATATTTCATTTTAGCCTTTTTTTCTGTTTTGTTTTTTTTTTTTACACAATTGTAATCATGGTATTTATACAATTTGTATGTTTTTATCAAAGGCATGTTCGTATCTTATGACATAGTCCTTGTAAAATTCATTTTTAATGGCTGCAGGTTCTTTCATTGAATGGATATATCATAGATGTCAATCCATTTGTCTATTGAGGAACTAGATAACAATTTAGAATGTTCTAATTTGTGGTGTGGAAAATTACACTGTGATGTCTATCTTTGTGCATAAAGCCTTTTCTATCTTCACTGTTTTTTCTTGAGGAAATTGAATTACTGAGATCTGAACAATTTAAAGTCTTGGTAAGTATTGCTAAATTGCTGTCCAGAAGAGTTGTGTTAATTAATACTTCATGTCCATTGTATATAAAGAGTCTGTTTCCTTTACCTAGACCCATAGCGTATCCCAACAAGTTTCCCTAACCATAAAGTGACAAGACACTAGTGCTTTTTCATTTTTGGTCAGAATAGCACTATCTATACCAGCACTACATATATCTACCATTTTATTCAACCATACCTTTGTTCATTTGTGGAATCATTCATTAGGTATTTATTGTGTTTTTGCCATGTAACCCCTCTGGTCTAGTTTCTGGATTCCAGTACCTTCTGGAGAAGAGAAAAAGAAAAAAAGCCTTTGTGTCACATGCCAGGCTTCCCCTGAAGGTGCTGAGGGGGACACGTTATTCTTGCACAGCATC